CTAATGTTCAGTCCTTGTTCCTACACACACTTCAAGAAAATTCTACTTCAGTTTTTCTCTTGTCTTACCTGTTTCATGTTCTCGTGAGAGTCATCTTTACGCTTGTTTGTATGTTGCTTGACTAGGGCTGGTGCGCTAGCTATATAGGAATCTTGAAATTACCTTAATGCGTGAACAGATCGGTGTTTCAGCAATTTCAGGATTCTTATCTTGCCTCGCGGTAAGCGCGGTGGCCTCATGGTTACTGCGCTCGTTTCCGGTCGAGCGGTCCAGGTTCGAGCCCTAGCCGGAGGCATTTCGTTGTGTTCTTGGGCAAGACACTTTACTCTCACACCCAGGCATAGTAATGGGTACCGGCGAACTCAATGTTACGGGGTAACCCTGCGATGGGCCAGCATACCATCCAGGGGGGAGTGGAAATACTCCCAGTCGCTTCATGTTATGGAAGCCGGGATTAGCTCCAGCCTGATGGGCCACTTGTCTCGTATGCAGACTTTACTTTTTCTTGCGTCGCTGGTGTTATCTGTCTCGAAGATGAGCTCTGATTAAGGCGAGAATTACTATTGCAAGTCCAGCCCAAGGAAAAGACTCTGCAAAAGAAATAATTACCATTCTAATAAATGATTTTAAACCAAGCAAATTTAAGCTAGTGCTGTGAGCGAGGTCCTGTTTAAAATTTTCGACGGTTCCCTCTATCTATATTGTCCACCTTTTTTACAGGAGAACTCCTCCTCTCTACCCCTTACCTACCCCACCAGCACGGGAGTGTAGTAATAGAACAAAGGTGTAATTCGGTTGCTTTTAAAAATTTCAAATTGTTCCCCGCATTCTTGAGAGACTGTTTGCACGCACATTTTAATAAAACAACACCTTCATTAATTTCGTTAGCTTTTTTATGCCTTTTCTCATTACTCTTGATGTCACCTACAAACAAAAAAATCAATGGATTTTTTCTCGATTTGTCTCATTCTGTTAAAATGCTTTTGGAGGATTGTGTTGAGTATCTTCTTTCTTGACGGGTAACACATATATAATGTTTGTTCTGGCTTATACCCCCAAAATAGC